ATATGCGAGGAGTAAAGATTTCGTGCTTAAAAAACTCTTTAAACTTGCGATTTTTTCACTGCGCGAAGAAATGCTGCTATTCACTGTGCCTCACGTGAAGAAAACAAAAACGAACTGCGATCAAAGAGCGAGTTATTTTTCACATTTAGAACATCGGTCTCGACCAATCAATGCTCTTTTGTTCCTAGGTTTACTAGATAGTTTATATCGTCTAGTAGGCAGCCATAGCCAGATACCTTTTAATAAAGTTAACCGGTATGCGCAAAGTCTGGAAGAAGATAGAGAACAGTGAGGACTTACGCTTCATTTGCTGGTCATCTCCAACCACAATTTCCCCAAGTGCTTTGTTGATAAGTTCCATGAGCACTTCCAATTGCACCTTGAAGCATTTTTGTTCAAGCCACACAATCGCAAAACCACATGATACTACAAACCCTCTCAATGTCCAACATAATTGAGAGAAGTCTGTATTGATATTACGGATGACGATCGAAAATCATTCATCAACATATCAAAGCTCTGCCGCTTCCGCTCTCACTCTTGTACATTTGCAACTCTTTGATTACAGCAAATTTTCATCTTTTGCTGAATTCACCTGATTTCTCTAGCCAAGCCTCCACAATTCGTGTTAGTATGTTTCGCTCTCTGTTCTTTTATTCTTTCCATACCCCAACATCATAATAATCTGGTCTCGGCCATAGTCCTATCAATAGGCCATAAGAGTTGTGAATCCATGTAACTATATTATATTGAAGTAGGATAGTCCACGTATGCCAAAAAATCCGACAGATCTTTCAACGTACACAAGGGTTGTGTGCTAGGTGTTTCGGCACTGGATGAAATGGAAAAACAACGTCTCACATATTAGTAATGGAATTAAATACTTACATGATGCGGAGTTTTAAAGACAATTGAAGTTCGGGTTCAAAATTGGTAAAAATTCATTTCGCTTGCTGTTGTGGTATCCAACACGATGACCAAAATTCGCTGCTCAAAGCCTTTCCCAAGACGAGCTAATGTGTAACGCCTGACTTCGATTTTCTTTCCAATCCAAATTTAACCGCCCTCACCACAATACGCTTTCCATCAACCCAAATTACGCTGTGATCTAAACTTCGAGTTTCTTCTCTTGTTCAATAGGGGTGGCCATTTCATCAGCCCAATCGCCAGCTCCCACCAATGGAGAAATGACACCTGATGTCGCATTTTTGGATGCTGAGGTTGGTGGTAATGATGGGAAATCCTCTGGCGCGGGTACAGTTTGAATTTGCTGTGCTGAACCACCTCTTCCACCCCTACCATTACCCCTACCTCTTCCTCTTCCACGTCCATTTCCCCGTCCTCTATTCTCATCATAAATATACGAAGACATATCATCTTCTGGGGTATCGTTAAACCTACTACTAGCCAAACCACCTCTCCCTCCAATAACTCCACCATGACCACCCCTAACATATTGGGAACTCCTTCCCTTATTATCCTCGAACTCTTTTTCATCCTTGCCCTCATCCCATTCCCTACCACCCATAGCCTTCAACTTTCTCTCTCTATTCTTCATTCTCTCGCCTTCCATTACTTTACCCCTCTCGATTTCCTCTTTCCTCTTGCGCTTCTCTTCTTTCTCCTTTGCAGCATAACCTTCCCTATCTTTCTCACTCTTTCGGAAAGATTCTGCCTTTTCTGCATTTATTATCTTCATTCGCTCGAGCTTCGCTGTCAATTCTTCTTCGGTCAACTTCTTGTGCGATGGACCGCCGGTTAAAGAACGATCGCCACGAACAGAAGGTATGGGCTTTTGTTGAGTTTGTGGTTGCGCTTCAGTAGGAGATTGTAGAGGAGGAGAGTTCGAAGGCGCAGCAACTGGGAGTTGTTCTGTTGTGGCTTCGACAGATTGAGGCCGAATGGCGACAGGCTCTGGTTCTTGAGTCGCATACCTCGATGATTTCAAACCATTATTCGGCGCACCACCTCGACCTCTTCCGCCTCGTCTTCTATCCGCGCCTCGTTCCCTTTGGTTTTTGTTGTTGTTATGATGGCTGTTATTTGAAGGTCCAGTAGGTAAGGATTGTGCGCCATTACTATGTACATATGCTTCCGCAGTTGGTGAAAGTTTGGAAACGGATTGAATTGGTGCCTCTTCTATGACTGTAGGCTCAGATGCAGGTTCAAACTCGTCGGCGAAAAGATCATCGTCTCCTCTTGATTGCGCGAATTCATCCATGTTGGGTATGAACTGGTGGGGTAAGTGGAAGAAAGTAAAGTTGTTGAGTTCTTTGTAAAGTATTTGCAAACGAGGAAATAGATGTTTAAGTAGCGTTTCGCACTGTTTATTTTGCAATTCAATGATCGTGTGTTTATCTATTTTTGGAGAATTATCGGTGGTGAATAGTACAATAGATAATTAGGTGAGTTTTCATGAGAAGGTGGGAGGGCGGCTAAATATCGGTATGTGATTATGTAATACTATTCCATGATGACATTGATGACGACAAGTTGTGGACGGTCAATACAATGAAAATTATAAATCGAGATATTCATTACATATTCCAGATCCAATATCAGGTCGAAAGAGGTTTTTTATTTGACTAATTCAGAAAAACTTGAGTCTTTTTAGGGGAAGCCCTCTCTTCAGTTTTATTACTTACTAGGTAGGCTTCTTGGTTCGTAAAAAGATAGATCAAGAAATGCGATGGAGCATCCTACGTGTTGATAATTCTAGTCGCCTATAATCTTTGTATGAAAAGTGTTTTAGTAAAGTAAATTTCCACGGAATACCCAGCAATCGCAAATTGAATCATCACATTAGAGTAGGTGGCTCGGTGGTCATCCTAAGCAGAGACGAAGACATGGCATGAAGCGAATTCGAGATTAAGGGGGGGCTCATTCCTTAAGATAGTAGCATAGTAGACTCAGAAAATTGTAGAGGCAGAAAACATCAAATTCTCAGATACATACACTATAAATCGAGAGAACAAGATCTAACATTGGTACCGCGTTGAGGATACTATCACTCATGTATAGCTTAAAGCTAACTATCAATCTCAAAATAAGATCGAATCAGCCGAGCTTCAATATCTACATACGTCTACGTATTAAAAATACCATTGTAGAATTGAGATGAAAAGCTTTCACAGCTTATCGTTACCCACTCATAAAAAAGCAGCAGAAGTTGGACTGTAATATTTTTAATTATCAATAGTTTAATTCAAATCCGAGTTGCAGAGACAAGATACACATTGAAAGGGCTAATGCCAAACTGCAATGATGCCTCAAGTCCGATCATTTCTAGACGTTGACTTAAGCATTGGATATCTCCGCATTCATTCTATCAGTATCCACCTCGCAAAATCAATGTAATACAAACTCAGTATTTTCATCCTCTCTGTTAGTAACAGAGATACCCGGTCAACGTTCGATGACAACGTTAACCCCGCCAAGAATTTCACATTAACAAATGGATTTGAAATTTTGATGGTGAAGTTCAGCAAAGGTCGCCAAGGCCTGTAAAAATAGCTATTGATGCTTTCCATGCATTCGTGGATCAGGACCAGATTCGGGATATTCCATGAGAATTTGGTGGCTTTCGATGCCCTAGTATTCGATACGCTCGTGACTTCCAAAGTTATGATGATGGTAAAATGATACTTTTTAGCTGATTGAGTCTAATCAGGCGAAACTTCATCAGGACCGTTGTGATGGGAGAACAATCCACAAATGATAGTCACATTGCTTCCCACAGACTGAGTTGCAATCACACTTGTAGCAACACCATAGAGTTGTTGCCTTTGCCAAAATTCGTATGGAATCTTGATCGGGACCACGGGAGGCGGGTAATCATCTTGGTTAGAGCCCACTCTACCGGAATAAGTGTTGAACCCTGGGCTATAACGGCAAGGCCTCGGTTAGCCGTAGAGGGGTTAATTAAGCGAAGTGTTTTGAAGTCAGGTCAGCCAATCGACTTTGATTAGATGTCAAAGTACATGAATTAGCATGGCAATCGTGTCTATAATTGAGGAATAGTTGACGCATATATGTTTTGAGCTTTTTTTATGAAGCCGGAAATCTAAGTGAAAGGCGACGACTCTTATACCTTCATGATTCCGTTGAAGGATGCGTAGGAAATGCTGAAAGTTCCTATGCTCAAATCAAATCAAATGATCGCATCTACTCTTTGTATTGCACTGTAGTCCCCCATTGAATTACCTCAATAAAAATGCAACAAACCTCTCTTCAGAGGATCCATTGGCGGTTTGAAACAACTTGGTACCTTCAAGTCTAGCAAGAGCTTTTTTTTTAGCAGTCAACACTTGGAGACTTTCAAGTGAAAAGGTCTCATGACGAAATCGCTAATATCATCAAGAAATAATTTTCTACCTGTAAGAAGTAGTATAGATTCACTTTTCGATTGAAGAGAAAATTTGCCAAAACTGTATCATCTATATGAGGGTTTACTTGGTGGAAGTGAAGGTGGAGGCACGAAGACCTTGAAGGGAATAACAATTGAGATTAAATCAGATTGTATGCTCAAATGAAATTACTTTTGCCATCCATCGTTTTATCATCCAATGAAATGAATATTAAAGCAGGACTCATAAATTTAGATGAGAGCACTCTGAGGCTTGCGTACGCTCGTCAAAAAGCGACGATCAGACTAAAGAATGAGATGAGAGGTTGTAGTGCCCAAAAGAATGTTGGAGTGTAAGATCACGGGTTACGGAATATCATTCTACCGGACACCGACCGATTCCATTTTCGGCGCTAGGAATTTTATCAATCCATCATCATATCGCCATCGATTGAAGGAAAAAAAGGTTGAATATTAATCAACCAGTAACGACCATTTATAACTCTATCCAGTCGCAATCATCACAATCTATCGGTGCTCATACTTCGAAACCAACGTTCATCTGCCATAATCTCAAGACTGCACGGTTTTTCTAGGCGGGACATCGAGCAGGAAGAAAAAAGTAACAAGTCCTCACAACCAAAAAACATACAAAATGGATCACACACGAGACCCATGTCCTTGGGTGGCCTTGAACGATTTTGGAGGAGCTTTTTGTATGGGTGTACGTAATTGCACTATTTCCTCTACTCTCCTGAGAAATACATCGATTTCCGCAAAATTCTCAAGCATAGAGATCATAAGAAAGAAATACTGATCAAGTTCTTTTCAGGCTATCGGAGGTGCAGTATGGCACGGTGTTAAAGGCTTTCGAAACTCACCTTACGGCGAAAGAAGGATTGGCGCACTCACAGCCATAAAGGCACGAGCTCCTGTACTAGGAGGAAACTTCGGTGTTTGGGGTGGGCTCTTCTCGACTTTCGATTGCGCTGTTAAAGGATTGAGGAAAAAGGAGGACCCTTATAATGCTAGTACGTTCTTTCGAGAATTTTAGCTTGAAATCTTTGCTGGCAGATTGTTGAGCGGCTTGATTGCACCTATTCGAACGAAATACTGACACTGAAATAGTTATTGCTGGATTCTTTACTGGTGGTGCTTTGGCAATTCGTGGTGGTGCAAAAGCTGCAAGAAACTCAGCGATAGGATGTGCGGTTCTCTTGGGTGTTATTGAAGGTGTTGGAATTGGGTTCCAAAGAATGATGGCAGGAAATACGAAATTAGAGGTACACATTTTCTTTGCCCATTTCCGTCCATTCCCATATTAACTTTTCATAGCTACCTCCACCTCCTCCACCATCTGAATCCGGTCAAACCGGGTTCCCAGCCGTCGCATAATTTCTCTACTTTACATTGCTACAAATATAATACCTCATGTTGGTCGACCCCTCCAACAAATTACACAAACTCTACTCTTTTCGTCCAGCCGATAAAAGGTTTTGGTCGCATGTATTCCCCTACATCATAATATCGTGTAGGACACCCGCACTTCATACTGGACTTGTTTGCATAGCTGGGATTGGTGTATGTATATCTAGATTTGACCTTTTGGACCCTATCCCAGACTTGAGGAAGGTTAAGGTTATGTTATCAAGCGTAACGAATGGAAATGAAGATAAAAGTTCATGTGCCTCTAATTGTCAATTTATGGCCGGGCTGTGTGCAAATGATCCAGAAAGATTTGTTTGGTCTAGCGGTCAACTCCTTATTGTTTAGCAAGCCAGCATTCTCATGTATGTATGTCTCTTGGTTCAGGTAAATGAGGTTTTCATTTCGTGTTGAATTTGTGACCATTGGTATTTTGATCATGACTTTCATTTACTATTGTACCCTGTCTCAATCCATCGCACTAATCATTTTCTCCTCACTCTTATTATACGTTGCTACCAATGAAAGCAATCAGCTCTTCCAATTTCCCATCTAAAACTTGCGCTGCAGTCAATAATCCATTATTCCCTCTGTCTGTAGCAGCAATCAAAGTACTAGGTACTTGCCACGTGATTTCCGTTCCTTCTTCACCTGATAATTGGCGGACTAGAATCTCTACAGGTACAAATAATCCTGCGTTGAGAGATTCACTAGATTGAGAGAGCATCGTAATAGCTATTAGTGGATTTCCGATTATGATACGTTTTAGACCAAGCTGTGGATTGAAATTGATATTGAAGAGTGGGAGCCAAGAACCGTGATCGAATTCCTTTTAGTTATCAATCAGCTATCGTTTGCTCTTCACAGCTATGCTTTTAGAGTTCGTTTCGCCGCCACAAGCCAGTAGCAGCAGATAAAAACAATTGGGGCAAACGTACACCAAAAATCATGAATCCTTGAGGTCCAACGGCCGCCTCAACTCCTTCGATGAATTTCTCCTTGTTGTTTTCTTCATGCGATGTCATACTTGCGGCAATTGCTGGCCATTTTGAGTCCGTAGGCTTCCCAATTGAAGCGTAGAGATTGGACATAACAGTCTCAAATGCCAGAGAGGTACGGGAAGTTTTCCGAGTTACAGAATAAGTAAAGGTAGTTGTTGAACTTTCGTGAGCCATTATGGAAATCGGAATGAGACAAAAGAGAGTTCTAGATGATGAGAGTTTTAAATGTTCAGAATTCAAAGTTCGGAAGGTGAATGATTGAAACTTAGGTAGCTTTTAAGTTTCAGAGCATACAGTAAGCTGAGTTGCACCCACGGTTACCATTCAAATGATTACTGATTGTTTGTTGGTACAATTTAAGAAGGGGTTGCCTTTGAATGATATTCGCTCATAATGGGATGGTTTTCACTGAATGAAGTAGAAGGATTTAATATCACGTGAGCATGGTTGATTACTTTACATTCGCCAACCGAGGCTGATTCCATCCACCAACTCCTCACTCCCCGCTCTGAGTTGAAGGTTTGATAAGCTGTTTATTATGCAATGAAATTATCTAGACAATGTGTAAGATATGCGTCTTCCTAATTATTGGTTCTCCCTTTTTCACCCACCATGAACTACACGATTGCCAGTGGCGACATCGATACCTCGTGCACCGACTGATGCACCGACTGGACTAGACCCTGGGGGTAGATGGTTTACTTTAGGGCTTTTATGGATATTCAGTGTTGTGACTGTATGGGTCCTCGTTGACCCTATCTTCTACAATGAATTACCAATCTTATTGACATCGAACAATTGGAGGCGCGGTGATATTGGAAGACTTTTCCTTGATAAAAATACCGAATGATGATTGTAAAATCTAAAATTTTAATTCTTTTGAATCTTTGCAGTCCGATCTGCTTCTCTAACTGCCAATCTATTGTATATTTCTAGAACTCCCCTCAATCTAGTAGTACTTGAAAACCATGCGGCGATAAAACTTTCTTAACAATTACTGATCCATTCCATCCAACTCCACCAGCTTCAATACAACTTCCACTACCTCATTCCCGGATAAATCCATTCCAGGCTCATCAATCTTCTTTGCCAAAACATCATCCAACATTCCTCTCAATCTACTAACTAAAACACCGATACGTGCCCAACCCCTCAGTCGTAACCAACCATCTACCAAAAGGCCTCTACCCAATGTATCCAATGTAATTGGTCCAGAGAATAAAAGTGCCGTATATGCGTTAAAAGGTGTAAGATCTCTGATAAATACTTTACTCGTCGCCATCTTATTGAAGTAACTCATATATTTGCTGTTACCAGGGAATGTTTGTGCATCAAAGATTGTACTACTTGGATGAACAAAAACACGTCCGTTTTCTTGATTGAAATATTTGATTGTCTTTGCTTCCGGGTCTAGTTCCACAGCACCGGAGACAGAGGCCGCAAACTTCTTATCTGGGAAGTCGATACGTGCAAGTTGTGGATTAAAAGCTCCTGCGCAAAGGGATCGAATGAGAGCATTGTTTGATGATTTGGCTGATAAAGCTGGAGGAAGAATAGATGATGACGGAATGAAACCTATTTCGCGTAATGACGTAAGATATTGAGTTCGATTTGAGGATATATCATTGAGTGTTTGATATGAGAGGAAATTATCATTGCACCAATTTCGAATTTCTCCTTGTCGATAACTATTGAAAATTAGTGTCAAATTTTAATATCGGGAGTAGAACAACATACTTTCTATTGTTAATCATCTCGAACCATTCTTCAAAAGCTCGAAGATCGCCAATTAAATCACCCTGATTTTTAGCGAATTTTGCCCTTGCAGATTTTGACTCTTCTCTTTTATCCTGCGGTGATACAAAAGGTGATTTGACGGTCAAGATAGCTGCGATTGTGACAGCGGCATCCAAACAACCAAACATAGCTCCGTAAACCATTAGTTTACCGCAACGAAGATCAGCAGGAATCATTGAAAGATGACGACCTAAAGCAGTAAGATCATCTCCATCAAGGGCACCCATTCTTCCCAATAAATCCATAGCGCCGTCAACAGCTATACTCTCAGGAGGAGTAATGGCACTTGCTAAGAATGATCCAACTTCCTTAATTCCCATAGCTCGTACAGATAAACATAGTTGTTCCAATGGTACTCGTCTAATCTCAGGTTCAGGTCTCTCCATCATTTTCGATGTCTCGGCATTTCGTGTGTATAACTTGTAACATTTTCCTGCTTGAACACGACCTGCTCTACCTCTTCTTTGTTTACATGCAGCACGTGAAGCCCATACTTCTTCCAATTTACGCATGTTATTTTGAGGATCATAACTAGTCTCCTTAACACGACCAGTATCTATGACTGCGACAATATCATCAATTGTTATTGAAGTTTCGGCAACATTCGTGGCAACGATAACTTTACGTTTGCCATACGGAGCATGTGGGAATACTTTTCTTTGATCTGATGATTGCAGGGATGCGTGTAGTGGTAGAGCATGTAAATTCGGTATGGTCTTCAAGTAATCCAGCGTTCGAGTGATTTCAACCAGACCTGGCATGAAGATGAGAATTCCACCATCTTGTTTCAGATGAGTTAATTCAGCATCAATCTCTTTGACAGTTTGACTGATTAAATCATAATTGATTCTCATACCAATACTTTGAATGGCAGCTGCGACGTCCTGATCCATACCAGATGTTTCCTGATTGTCTTCCTGGTACTTACTACCAAATCCAGGATTGAAATTAGTCATTCGAATAACATCGTCAAGATAGTAGTCTTCCACTGGGTATGTGCGACCACTGATCTCGACTCTACCAACTTTTCCACCACTCTTGAAATAATCTTCAAAAATGCCAGCATCCAAAGTGGCACTCATCAAGATTAATTTCAAATCTTTTCGTTGGCGAAGAACATCCCGTAACAAAACAAGCAAAAAATCTGTATCCAAAGATCTCTCATGAACTTCATCGATGATGACATGACTAACATCTGCAAGAGATGCGACTACATCTTCACTACTTCCTCCAGATGTTTGTAATCGCCTTAGAAGTACACCTGTAGTCACAAAAGTAATCTTGGTATTCGGTGATGCTTTTGACTCTCCCCGAATAATGTATCCAACCTCTTGACCAACGGCAGAACATCGCTCATCACTAACACGATCCGCCAATCCCAAGGCAGAAATACGTCTAGGTTGCGTACAAATAATTTTCGCAAAATCTCCAAATGCTCGTTGATACATGTCATCCAGGATAAATTGAGCCGATTGAGTTGATTTTCCAGAACCAGTTTCACCCGAGATAATGGTAACTTGGTGAGAATTCACAGTATCCACAATAATATCCTTCATCTCCCACGCGGGTAAAGTTCTTCGACCTTTGATCATAGATTCCAACTTCGGATTGAGTTGTCGACTCTTCCATTCATCCTTACTTTTAATGTTGGCAATCCATTTAATCGCTCTAGGATGTCTTGAAGTATTCTGTCTTCTCCGACGAACTGGTTGAACTTCACTGACTATCGATGCAGCGGCTGAAACATCGCTAAGCTTTCCAGGTCTTTCAATGATACTATAAAGATGTTGTTCCACCCAGTCAATGAGGAAAAATAACATGTGTTCACCCAATAAACTATCCATGGCATAATTCAAAGCTTGCTTCATAATGCTCAAACGAATATATGCCGGCAACTGAACGTGAACAGATATGACCGGAACCTTTTGTGGATACTCAGAAGATCGACGAAATTGGATAATAGGTTCGACAGGAAGATTCGTCCCACGATTTGATGGTTTGATTTTAATTCTGCAAACATCTTTCGATGGACGTGAATATTTCTCGCCAAAAACCGATTGAAGACCAGTCATTTCCTCTTCCCAAATTTCGTCCGAAGATTCTTTGGCATCTTCAGTATCCCAGGAATCCTCGCTTGGAATAGATTCGACATCTTTTCCACTCGACAAGAGTATGTGTTGTAAAGCCTCAGAAGCTTTTCCTTCATCGTTGTGAATATCATAAATTTGCTTGCAAAGGTCGATTGAATATCCAGCTTCAGCCAATCTCTTGATAGCACCTTCACGCTTCAAATCACTACTTGCCATACTAATACCAGCAACATATCCTTCCGGCAATGCCCATCTTGGTAGATCATCTTCTGGAACATGGATCAGTAGCCATTCAAGTGTCTCCTCTCTATCTTTGCATATATCCACAGCTTCTTCGATATGACTCTGCCTGAAATCAAGAGTCTTGAATTCTTTCACAATGGAATGCTTCTGAAAGTCGGATAACATAACATCGTGTGGGTTCCAGATAGCGTGTTTTCTTACTAAACTTTCGACTTTCGTTCGCGTACGTTTGCCCATCTCGATTTTAGGTACCTTGGTCCACCCTCTGTGAATGTTGTTATGTGATGACCCCCCTCCGGTTGAATTTGTACCATTGCCTCCATTACCACGTAATGCCAATCCTGCACCTCCTGGACCTGCTGATCCTGGTGTATTCATAGCCTTTTCCCTTGCCTTTTGCTGTTCGTTCCGCTTCTTTTCCATTGCAGCTTTTGCATCTTCTCTTTCCCTCAACGCAGCAAATGGGTCCGCCTCATACATCCATGCCTTTCCTTCCTTAATATCCTCTTTCTTCAGAACTTCAAACTCACCCTTCCATAAATCTCGATAATCAGGTGGAAGTGTCATGTGAATGTTTCGCATATTAAGAACCCGGAAGAGACCATATGTGGCAGCGAAATGTCTAGCTTCAAGAGCTGTAGGTTTGACAGCAAGGTGCTTATGCGAAGGTGGTAATTTAAAGGGGGCTAGCGACACAAGTTCTTGGGTTTTCGTATTCTTAGCCTTTAGGATTACCATTGAGGAGAACCCTTCCGGAGTTTTGATCTATTATTATAGCATCAGTATGCGCCGTCATTGTTGTAAACATTTCTGGAATTTCCACAGCATTAAAACACTTACCATGGTATATTCTGGTTTCTCCCATTTTTGCTTTTGGCAATGTTCCGAAAGTAAATTAACGGGCAACTTTCCAGTCCATGATTGTCCGCCGATCAATTTCTTAACATCCGGTCTCTTTGGCGCCTCACCCAATGGATCAGGTCCATCTTGTCCTTGAGTTGGCGGCTTTCTTTGCTTTGGCTCTTTATCCGAATTTGAGAATACTATAAAGCTATCATCTGCAGCGGGTGTTGTTGACGCTTTATTTTTACCGGCAGATGTACCTGGTTTTGGCCCACCTTTCGATGATTGTCCTTTCTTGACCATATTTGGTCTCTGCAGTCTTGATGACAGGCAAATCCATGAAATCAAAGTTAGTAGTAGTGAAGGCGTTGAGATCTTTTAGTGGTTCATCAGATTTGGATGCTAGTCGGAAATAAAGTTTTCCCCACAAGGCTGAGATAATTGTAAAGCTCGGACTTTTTGCATTTGATATGTAACCGATATCCCTACTATGTGCACGGCCCTACTATGTGCACGCTCTTATTATTTATATAAAATATAATATTAAATTGAATTAAAAATCAAAAAAGCAATGAAATCATTTGAAATTTAAAATTAAGATAATTTGAATAAATTGATATAATATTTGAAAATGAAAAATCTGAAATTGTGAAAGATTATAATAATAAAACTAATAAATAAGATATAGAATTTTAATATAAGAAATTACTTATTTATTAATATATTTTTTAATAGAATCGAAAATATAAGTTTTATTTAAAGAAATTATGAAATTCTTTATATTATAATATGAAATAATTAAAAAAAATTAAACTTTTTTATTGAAATTCTGAAATTATATTGATATTAAATTCTAATAATTTTTCAAAAGAATATTTATAAAAATTAATTATTAATATAATAATGAATTTATAATATTTGACTTTACTTTTCAATTATATAATAATAACAGATTTTAAAATCTTATATAAATCTATTAAAATCTATAATTTACTAATATTATATTGAAATAAAGATTTAAAAATAAATATCAAGAATTTAATTTGATATAATATTAATAATAATATAAGCTTTTGTTAATAATTATTGAAATTTTAGTTTTTATAATCTTTGAATATATATATTTCATTTTAATATTAAAGAAGAAAGTTATATTAATTGATTTTTGATTTAATAAGAAATTTCAATATTTGAACTTTCAGGATTTATTAATATTAAAATGATTTTTATTAAGATTTTCTTTTTTTAAAAATTAATTTAATAATATTTTGAATTATAAAAACCTTTATTTTGAAATTGTTTATATTATTATAATAATTTCATTATTAGAATTTCATTATATATCATAAAAATAAGATTTAAAAGATTTTAAAAATAGAATTTTAAAAATAAAAGATTTATTTAAAGAATTTCTTTTGATTGGTTTATAATTTATATATTTTAATATTCAACATCATTTCTTTCAAAAAGACTATAATATTCAAAACTTCAATATTAAATAAAAAATTTAAATTCATTTTAAAATTCATTTTTAAAAAAACTTCAAATAATAAAAATAATTAGAAAATCTAATAATCTATATTAAAATCAATTCTTATTACTTTTTTAATTTTTTTGTTTTCTTTATAAAAGCATTAATATCAAAGAATCTATCAAAATATTTTTTAACTTTATAAATAAACTTTAATATATTTATTATTGAAAATTTATATATCAAAATTATATATTCTCTTTATATTATTATTTAATCAGTTTTTATTTTAATAATTTGAAATTCTAAAAAATCAAAATAAATAATATTATTGAATTCTGAAACTGAATTCTATCTTATTTTAATGATTTTTGAATTTTAAATTGAATTTTATTTTAATGAAAAAAAACGTGCATATAGTAGGGTCGTGCACGTAGCAGGGATATCGGTTATGTGCCTCTGTGCGTCATTCTGGTGGAACTTTTGAAGCTCAGCCTTGTTAACCTTAACTACCTAATACCTGACTGGGTACGGAGCCCGACTCCAATTAGTAGTCATCACCGAGTGGATATTAATTAAATTACTGTTGCATAGATACAATTCTCCCGCTCTCTCTTTTACAATTTGGGTACTGACGAGGATATATTTAAGGTTGAGATCTGGGGTCTTACCGATAAACAGAGTACATGGAACCTCTCCTGCCTGGTGAACCTCTACTCAATCGTGATTATGACTTCAAAAATCGAAGACGATACTAATGGGACACCTCAAGCGTCCTCATTATCTGACAAAATGTCTCCTAAATCAAACGCATGTACCGTAACACCATTCGTTCTTCTACTCCCGCTATGTATGATACTAACAAGACTTTCATAGTTACCAAAATGATGTCAAGTTCGCGATCCAAACGCCCTAATTCCTCCCCGACATCCTCCCCTCCTCCCAAAAAGATTGCAAATTCGAATCCTTTCCATTTTGGTCGAGCGGGCCTCGGAGCTTACTTATCAGACCCCTCATCACATCCTGCATCACGCATGATCTATCACAACTCTTTATTTGTAGCGATCCATGACCTTTACCCTAAATCTTCGGTTCATGCCCTACTGATTCCACGAGACGAGAAATGGAATAGTATGCACCCGAAAGTCGCATTATCCAACCCCGAGTTCCTCGAAATGGTGAGACCGGAAGCAGAAAAGTTGAAGGGAATAGTTGCATCAGAGTTACGTCGAAAATATGGACCGGAATCTGCAGAAGATTTGCAGAGGCAAAAAATACTTAATGGAGAAGTCAATCTAGATGATGATGCTGAGATGCCAGAAGGTAGGAATTGGGAAAAAGATGTTATGATTGGGATACATATGCATCCATCTATGGATCATCTTCATATTCATGTTCTTTCTGTGGATCGTTATTCTTCATGTCTGAAGAAGCGGAAGCATTATAATTCATTTGCTACACCATTCTTCGTCAATTTATCAGAATTTCCTTTGTCCGAGGAGAGACAAGAAGCTCTTGATAGGAAAGGACAAGGTAAAGCATGGCTAGAAGATAATTTGAAATGTTGGAGATGTGGTATGCAATTCGGAAATAAATTTACTAGGTTGAAGGATCATTTGGAGTTGGAGTTTGATGAATGGAAAAAAAAATAAACGTCAAGCAAAAATTACCATGTCAATTTTCTTCCTCCACTTAAACTCATGAATAGGCTATACGGAGAGCAAAAGAATCCGGGTAAAAACTTGTTGCTTTTCTTTCATGCTACTTGTTCAAAAAAAAAATTCAGAATTGGCCTATCCTTTAACAAGCTTCCGGTGTCTACTTTTCAGTGTCTGGAATTCAAGCAGTCTAGTCTCCAGATTTCTGACCACAGAATCATCATCAATTTCTGCTTTGCTACTCAAAAATCTTCCATATGTGTCTCGGTGGTAGGTTTATTATGAAAGTTCCATAATCTTATAATGTGGATCAAATTGATTTATTAATTGCACATAGTTTCTGCGACACAATTACTGACAGGAGTCACCTCAACCACACCGATCGTAGGTTTCTGACATCACGTGTATACAATCATATGAATCGTAACACACCAAATAAAAGGAAACAACTTTAGGAAAGGATGTTTATGAGATTCTTTCGTCCAAAAAAGAATCCGCCTCGCTTATCGAGCCCCTTTGTTCGCGCTATTGACTCAACACAAAGAACCCACCTTTACCACTGTTTCAAAACTACTTTGCAACAATTATAATTGTGTTCATAAGAATGGCTTTCATTGGCCTCAAGTATTCCCATTTCACTCCATTCAAACTCCATTCAACTAACTCCTCAACAACTGACTCACCAACTAACCACAAGCTACCACTTTAGATCCTCACTCCCAAATACAACTCTCAAACCACCGAAAAGATGTCCGGAATGAACGCTGTTACCACCGTTGTCGCTTCTCTAATTATCATTATCTTTGTTATTGTCTTCATCATTTTCGTTCCCGGCTACATGGGCATCAGATTTGAGCGTCGACGCATCGCAGCTCAAAACAACCTTGGGTCAATGAACTGGCCGTTTCCTGCCCAACAGGAACAAGAACAACATCAACAACCAAGACATGAATACGATATCGAGATGAATGATTGGCCTTTGAGATGTCCAGAACCGGCTTTGACAAGAAGACCTTCTGACTGGCCGTTGAGAAGAATGGAACCAGTAGTTATGCCGGAGAGAAGAAGAGAAAGTGTTAAGAATGTTAGGTTAGAATCTGGTAGTGCTGGTGGTGATCTTGAGGGATTTCCTTACTATGTGCGATAAATGCTGACATTTAGCGCTCAAAGAGAGAGGACTTGGAAAGGTAAGTGAAAACCGTGATGCTAGACGTTGCGAGTTTCTTATCAGGTAAGTGCAAGTGCACTCAGGTAATTCAATTTTTATATAGAAAAAATAGTACAAACATATCTATAACTGTGACCAATTGTGAAATGAAATATCGTAAAATGATAATAATTGCAAAATCTTTCTAGAATTAAGTTTATGACGTTCGAACCCAATCAGACTTGAAATAAACTAAGACATTGTGTCAATTTTACAACGTCATCGAGGTCATTAAAAAAGATCTACAGCGGGGTAATGTAAGAAGAACCTCACATACCAACACCATAAATTACATCAATGGCTCAAACAGCACAAAGTTGAGTACACGATACGAGAAAACGGCTCTGTACGATATTTGAGTTACACAATATATGTAGATCTGACTCGCATTGACTTTTAGAATGTGCAACGTATGATTCCATGAACGAATGAAGATCCATTGCTGCCAGAAACACGAGAAACTCTACTCTTTCAGGTAAGGGTTTAGAAAAACTGGTACGTTTTTCATGTTTATGACGGAGAGATAATGCAAGGTGCCGCAGCAGTCGGCTGAGGATATATTGTCTCTCAGAGAATGGTGAACTCACCATAATGTATATATGTGGAAAACTTTCCCAATTCTGGTGCAGATTTCTAGCCTTATGACCATACCTTGTACTGAGAAGAAAAATCACCTCGCAACTAAAACAAGTACTCAATTCAAAATGCATATCCAAAACTTTCTCTACACCCTCACCTCCCTCACTCTCACAAACCTCGTGACCTCCTCGCCAACTCAAGCCGGCACTCTCTCTACCCCACCCCCACCAGGAGAAAGTAAATTTCCCCTCCTCCTCCTCTCTCACTCACCCAATAAACTAACAAACACCCAGCCTATGTAGTCGGGTTTCCCATCTGTGCAATTCCTGGGTTCACTCAGATCCCCGGCGATTACAACGAAACCATTCACCAATATCCCAACGCCACTCTCGCGAGCTGTATCAACGAGTGTCGATCTGCATATCCAGAATGCAAAAGTATTGCTTTTCATGCGCGGTATACAGAATGTTTGTGGTTTGATGAGAGAGTTGATAAGACGCAATTGTATGAGGATGATACGAGTGAATTTGTTCATTATGATTTGATTTGTCCGGTGCCTGCTTGTTAGGTATGGGGGGATGGATGTGAATCGGCGGCTGGGGGTGGGAGCGGAACGAAATCATACTAATTAAACGAAGCGATGAACGAATTTACTAGCGGTATTCTGATGGAAATCAACGACAAGGAGGCCGGCCGGATAGGAGGTGGATGTTTTTGGAGACTCTTGAATTAACTTTGCTCAATCAATTTTTCTCAATGAAACATTGTCATTGATGAGATTACTATACCATGGATTCTGAATGCATCTGTATTGCAATATTGTGCTCCAAATTGTACCATGTCATTTCCATATTTCAAATATGTTCAAAATCGAAGTCTTCGGGTGAGATTCCTCCAGGTGAGATACCTCGTCAGTCCCTACTCCGAATCATTGGCAAACCAACCAGGGTGAGCCAGTCTATCATTGAAACATTAAATATTATTTCCATTCATCTATTCCTCTTTTCCTTCAGTCCCCTCTGCCTACTCTCTCTTCTCTCCCTTCCCTTTCTACTTCTCGATATTCCCCTCCTCTGGATTGTTCTCTTGACCCACCAAACAATCATATCCCTCATTAAGAATAAAATAACAACAAAAGCAACAGGTAAAGCTATTTGCCAAAAATATTTCTCGTTATGTTCTATACTTGGCATATCGGTGAAATTCATTCCAAAGTAACCTGTCAAAAAACTTAACGGCAGAAAAATGATAGTGACAATTGTCAGTTGTTTCATAGACTCATTTTGATATGCTGAGATGGTATTGAAGATTAAATCAATCATTCCATCAGCGTTTCGTCGAAGTTGATCCAAAGATTCTGTAATTAATACGATGTGATCTTCAACGTCTCCAAGATATGTTTGTGCCATTTGACTAATCTTAACAGCAGATGCTGCCTTTTGTACATCACCTCTTTGTCCAACATTTTTATGATCTCGAAGAGAATTGATGAGGTTAGCAATTGGATTGATAAAGTTGCGTAATGTGGTTATTTCGCTAGTAACGACGTATAATGATGTTGTATGTTTAATATTGGGATTTGTCAAGACATCTAGCTCTAATGAACCAATGATGTCCTGATAGGCGGAGGTGACAGGTATAGCAAGATCAATGACAGCATCGATAACGGCCTGCATTACCATTGATGCATCACATGATTTGCGAAGTATTGTATCAGAATTGCTTAATCTGTGAAGGATGGGTTCTTCAATGTCATCTGCTGAATTTTCGAAGAAGGAAATAACGGTATTATCTATGATGCATTAGATCAAACTCGACGAAATAAAAGGACTACTAACCAGCAGTCAAGAATATCGAGACCTGCTCAGCACTAACAGCCAACTTCTTTTGCGTTAGAGGAGAAATTTTCTCCATATGTGCCGCTCTTTCTTGGTTTGGGCCTCCATGATATCTTTGTAAAGTCCTTAATTTTTGCACTGGGGAAGATTGTACGCCATCCGTATGCCCAGTGATAAATTCCTTAGTTGTATCATGAACACCGCCGGCTAGCGCATCGATGGGTGTAACATTGGAATTCCTCCGTTTCATGAATTTATATAACGCTTTACGGAATGGTCCTCATTTCCTTTTCCTTGGAGCCTCCAGTGTTATATCTTGTTCGTCATCGCTATCGCTTTCCGAATCGCTATCCTTATCTGGATGTAAATGGACGAGTTTTTGCAATGTCAAAACGACATAAGTATGGTCAGTATACCTACATATCGTTAGTCCTCTACCATCAGAATGTACTGTACAACATACCAATCTGCCTTTGTCCTATTATTGAGATTGACCATATCCTCAATTGCCAATCTGTGTAATTTCTTCTTCTTGCCAATGGCTTGTATAACATCCCAACTGAGTCCATTAACATTAATCCATCGACATTTAATCCACTCCTCTTGTTCCATATCCATGAAGCGAACAAATTCATCATTATTAAATTCTCTTTTGACTATTTTTTCTTGACTGAAGTCCACAAGAGTTATTTGACAATCCTCGTGTAGGTTGAAGCTAGCAGTTCGACCACCATAAGGTTTAGATGGATCCAAACCAGGTTCTTGTCCTGGATGCCATTCTGGTTGACTTGGTGAAACATCAACAGTGGGAAAGGTATTGGTTCGTGAACGGGTTGCGCGACGTCGAACTGGTGATTGTCCCGCCATGGAGTCTGGGGCAGATTGAGTAGACATTGTAGGCTCGAGTTCATCTACAAATTGAGAATAAGCAGATTATTGCGAATATGCGCATGAAGATGATATCCATCGGAAGGCATGAGAACGTGTGCGAAAGTTCTCAGAGTGAGGAGAATGATATATGCCGTTGTCGCACAAATATATTGATTGGTTCAAGTTGCGAAAGAAACTCACGGCTTAGTCTAGGAAATGCCTCCGATTCAAATCCCGCGGTTCTTGATGGTGAGTTTATACCCCCAGGTGAAAAATCTCTTATTTCTGGTTCATACATTCTCCCTTTTCGATATCATTTGTGTGCGACGTAATAAAGTCTTGTTGTTTCAATTCTTGGATTGATCAAACTCCTTTCCTCAAAATCTCATGGATTCGCGATTCAATCTCCAACCCTCAATTTTTCCTGTAAAACTAATATTGCGTTACAATAGGGGTATCAAAATAAAGATTTAATGAATGACATGAATTAAAAACAAAAAATACAACAAAAGCAAGTAAATACAGATAAAATGAAGATGTTGATAATTCACTTGTCGAGAGTAAACAATGTATCGATGGTTCATCTGATAATTAATTTTTGGTACTCGAGTGCATGAATAAACAAGACAAGCTTTGCCAAGCTAAAATTACCTATTTCTGGGAAGCCACATTTTACCAAGTGCCCACTTCAAATTTGCATGTCAAAAACAACCCCTATTATTTAACGAATACCAGTAGTCTTCTTTAAAGGAGGTCCTTCATATGGAAGACATTATTCACAAAATGATGGAGCTCAGAATAAATTTCATGTGAATATACTGAGATTGTGTATACTTCGTTTTATTTCAGGTTGCGTTGTTGTATCTACAACGTATCAACTATTTTTGATATTTAAACCATTCTCCTGTACGTAGGTGTGAAAATGAAGATCTAGAACTCAGGATCGTACCGGCCATTAGACACTGAACTTCTAGTCATTGACGCTCCGCTAGGCCACTGCCGTGGAGGCTTTTTCGCTTCGCTCTAGGAGAAAACATGTTCGATTGAGTTGAATTGACGATAGAACTAGCGATTGAATTAACGATTAAATTAACTGAGGTGGAAAACGAGGGAAGATATTACCTATTACTTCGTGATAAACACATGTATGAGGGCTAACATCTATGAAAAATTTCAAACATGTAGATTCGTATGAACCCCATAGCTAGTGTATTTAAAGCTATGATAATACATAAGGGAAGGAAAGAATAGAAGTCCAACAGGTTGTCAAGACAAAACAGAGAAGAGAGGTTTCATCTGATAGTCAACATGCATATGATGGATAGATAATATGATCTGAAGAATTTAGATCATACCTATTGACATGATGGGTAGCCCGTTGTAGTTCAAGACCTGGTGCCAGGTGGACATCAACCCTGCTTAGTCATTGTTCATCAATAGCGGTGAATATGACGTGAAGAACACCCAAACCCGTTCAAACTTCACAAATCTCCTATCCTGTCCACATTCACATCACTTTACAAAGCATCTACCTATCACATGTCATCACAACAAGAGCCCAATACGATACCGATACGAGTTAATGATGTCAGAGTTAGTACTCACTTCATCACAAGATATTTCCATTGACATCTGAACCCAATATTATACCTTATTTATGACAAACACGGAGAACAGTGGACCCCAAGAAGATCATCATTTCCTAAAGTTAACGTTATTGATATTCATAAACTTTGTACACAGCCATGCGAGCCATCCAGCACTACCTACCCCAACAGGCCCCCAATCAGGCCCCAATTACTACGAAGTATAAGTATTTTATACTTCAATACTTATACTTCGTGCATTAATAAGGTTATGATAGACAGGTGCAAAACGAGGCTGAGTAGTTCTCGAAGACAATTTATGGTTTTTAACATCATTTGGATGTAACCGCCAGGGTGGGGCAATACACGTGTGAAATCACATCTTATCTTGGCTATCCAATTTTTAATTGGAAGCCTTGTACCTTAACTATTGTGTGTAGATCTTAATATGTCCGTACGAGTGTCGTGCATCATTAGTAATCTGGGGAGAATTACCCATTGCTGTAGATCTGGAAATGGAGAATCGATAGTTGTTCTGTTGACGTGACGTTGTATGATCTGCCCGAAATTGATAGGGCAGGAATACCTTCCCACGTGCAAGACTATAGGGAACGAGGATAGAGCGAGCTGGAGACCTACTGTGCATTTACTACATCCTATACTCCCTTTGGAGAAAAAAGATAGGTTTCAACAGATCATTATGTAGTTCTCATTTCAGTGTCAAATCATCAAGGCAGGTGATAATAAAGATCGAGAAGAGAATAATTTTCATTTGGTATCATTTCCATATCGCCATCATAACACCCCTTTCATAATCCATTTCTACCGCTCTATTCTATTCAATAACCATCCGCATCAACAATTCTTAATTCCGAAGCCATACCAATCTCAAAGGGAGAATGAATTTCAAATGGTGTTCCAACATTGATATCCAATCCCGTAAATGAATCTCTATCTCTCCCAAAACAGTCCCCATTAAATCCCGATGTTGGATGAGAAGTATTCTTCCATGTCGTTGGTGGGTGAACTGGAACCATAAAGTCATATCCTGATTCGCTTGTACCCATAGGTCGTAATAAAGGACTTGCACAAGGTGTAGATCTAGCGCTTGGGAGACTGGATGATCTTGGAGTATATGCGGGTGTGTCACAAGTCGACGATGCTTCGGAAGCATTACTTCCTCTTCTTTGACGTGCTGCATCGCCAGATGCTCGAAGAAGGTCGAAATCCATTGACGATGTCTTTTTTATTGGTCTTTGACTTCGTGTGCTTTGTGCTAATTCTCCAAGCTTCATAACGTTATCCATATCTGATATCGAGATGATTGGTCCGCCGACCATTTGTGAAGTTGATGAAGACATGATTTACTACTTTAATTAGTCTTTGTCAAGATAGTATTTTGCCAGGAATAAACTTACAAGTATGGAAATTGTGAATGATTGATTGAATGAACTCCTGACCAAGTACAGATTGCTTGGGAATAGATGATGAATGTTTCTCAAAGTGTAGAAAAACGTTTTCATGGATTGTAAATTCGTGTTGGTATATATTTTGAGAGAGAAAGTCGTGAATGAGAATGGAACCGTTGTAATATTCTCAAAGTCGTGATGATATAATGAAGTGAAATCGTTAAGGACAGTATGAGTTAATTTATTAAACAATAAAGTTATAATATACGAAGAATGATTGTGTGGTGTGAAATTTAACTTCCAGATAGGAGGACATCCGGATACATATATCAAGACCCGAAAACTCCGTACAACCAAATCACGAAATCCTACTTAACACGATATTCTAGTACCCCATGGCCAGCGCCTAGAGATTTAAGATCTGCCTACCACTTGGGTCACCCCACTCGCGCTTGTCACAATCCACCCGAGATCCACCATAAGGCTGTTCTCCATTTCCGACCCAACCAAAAGTTTTATATATTAAGAAATGAATGAACTGAACCGTGCCGTAAAATGAGGAAATAGGTTCCAAGCGGTTGCAGTTCGCTTATCCAGTCGTTTCATATGATCACCACGTTTTTGGGGGACATGCGTCTAATTTTGTGGGCCTATCAATCCGCCTATCGTTCTCGTGAACAAGGTCAAGCGAAGGCTGTGTTCTTGGTCCATTAGATCCACAAAAAAAATAAATTCTACGATTGGTGCATTTGTTCCGGAGATCAGGTTTGCCGCCGGTATCAATCAAGGTCCGAAAATCCTTGTTTTAGGCCATCATCATAACCGTTTAAGAAAACATTCATATCCAATGCAGGAATAAGAAAAGGGAGGACAAGGGGTAAGCTTGGTACGTATGAAACCCTCACATGTTGTACTTATAGAGTTTTGTTTTGTTTCTTCCTTTCGGATTTGGATAAGATACCAACACTGGAAATGATCGAAAATTCTAGATAACTCTTGGAAATATTGTTTCCACAATATTCGTAACCTTATATGACACGGATATCAGCGGTCTCATTTTCTGCGACCTAGATGTCACTCGAAAGGAACCTGGTCTAGAATTACTCGAAGAATAAGATCGATTGGTTTAGTGACTCTATTCGTGACTATAATCCTTCTGTTGGAATATTCAATTGTCGGGATATTACCATGCGGATTCATTAATTGTTGTTGGTTCTTTTGTATCCATAGCCAACGAAATTCCAACGATTGTATTGAGCCGAAGCAGTGATCTTGTCGTCCTTGTCCACATGACATTCAGAATAATCGTTAAATGTCATTTGAAGTTAAAACCATGGTAAACATTTCTTGGGGAACAATTTTTGAAAGTATAAACAACTGACTTTAACAAAACGTGTCACATGCAGACTCTTATCAATTCAGGGGATTGAAGCCACGCAGCTTGATACCTATGAAAGTTAGATTACGCAAATTAAGGTTAGTTGGGATTCCCAACCTTAACTTCCACAAAAGTGCTTGATGGCAACATGGAATCCGGAGTTCCGATTGTACTTGAACGGAAACAACTATTCGTTACTGAGAATATTATAAATTACCTAGTGGTACAATATAAACAACAGTTAGAATGTCGTTTGTCATGAAACATTTCTTGATAGCTGGATCAATTTTTAAGAAAAACTATAGACCCATTAGTTTGGACCCTCATCAATAATTCATCCTGCTGTGTACTTATAGGATATTTTGAGAAGTGAAACAGTTGGAAAATATTATTCCGCCGTACTGCAATGCCTCACAGATCACCAATTTACTTACCATGCACTTATCTATCCACTGTGTATTGGATTCAGCGATAGTTTTCCTTAAGAATATGCCATTGTTGATGCATCTGCACATGGATCTTTATCAAATCCATCTTACCGTAGGTCTGAGAATCGGCGGGTGTGGTGTTACGACCGGTACGACCATGATAGAGGATTGCAGTTACGAGATAATATGTACCAGACTTAAAGTTATGGTTTGAGACTTACCCGGGAACCAATAAGATCTTGGATACCGTTGATGTTGGTATGGGTGTTGGTGTGGATATAAGTGCGGTGTTGCAAATCTTGCATTTAGGCTTTTCCTCTTATGGCGATCAATATTCATCCAGTTAAATTTCCAATTGCGATTGTTCAGCCTGGTTCTGCTTTCCCAAGTGTTTGGAAATTAAGGACTGATAATTGTAAACAGCCACCAACTCGGGGAAAGAAACCCGCGCTTTCACAGCAATTTTCTAGATTAATAGTTGATTCTTCGAGGATATGTGGAGATTTCAAAGCATGGGGCATTGCTATAGGAAGTGATGCGACCATGGATTACTGCACTTTTGCCGCGAGCGCGGTATACACGATGTCAGTCTTCTAAAACATGAGGAATGGGCTGCGGTACTCGGGATATCATACCGAAGCTGTAGGAGCAAGGCATAGCATAGGATGAAAGTGAAATATTAGTACGTCTCCCAAAGTTGGACGAATGCAAAATGCAAAATGAGAAATGCTGAAATTGATAAATCTACCCTAACAACGAGAATCATGATGTATAGTGTTGTGCTGGACGTATGTTATTAGTACGGAATCCTTATACTATTCTAATTAACTGACCTGGAAAAAAGATGAGTTGAGTCATTTTCATGATACTACACTGGCATCACCCTTTTTGATAGAACCCTTTGAGAGTGGAAATTATCTGTTCAAAATATCAGCGAATGAATTTCATGGGGAATAAGAAGATCTCAAGATGAGCAATCTACACCAAACCATGTTTATTCAAAGCTCGAGATCAATTTTGTAAGAGATCAATTTTGCTTACAAAATTGATCTACTCGGCCCGTAAAAGGAGGGTAAAAGTTTCCCAATTTCGCCCGAAACTATCCGACCGTCTTTAGTCGGTGAGTATCGGTCCTACCTTTTCGTAGTTTTTGCTAGTATTCGGGAATATGTAATTTTCCGAGATCCGTGACCGGTCCAAATGAAATCACCATGCTTTTTAAGGTTCCACGGACTATTTGGAATTTTCCATGATCAACAATCAGATGAACTACCATTGGTAGGCTTACTTTTGACTTCAACATGAAACGGTAGATCTTGAATATCAATCATCGTGACAATTATTAGATCGTTTTCCTGCAGTAGTAACATGCTCTTAAGAACATCAAGATCAAAACGAAAACGAATTCTTCTAGGATTGAATCACAACCTGACATCAGGACGTTAAAGGTTCCAAACACTACAGTCATAACCAGATGTATTGCTCCGATACATCTATATTGCTCCGATGACCTAAACCACATGGTTCATAGCTTCTAAAACGTCGTTGTCTATCATTATTGACACGCTTTAGGAGAACCATGGAATGCGCTTATTTTTTAGAGCAAGAAAAAATCCAGAAGTCAAATCTACTTCTTCGCTAGAAGACTAGAAGATTTCAGATGTATGACAGGGTGTAAAGAATGCCCATATCCTAATAGAAAATCTATCAGTAATTTGATGTTGGAAAAGTTTTTATAAGAACGTGTGTCATGAACTAAACTCTTGGCTCAAAAGATCATCACTTCTTTGAAGTTCTTTCCTTGTATTCCCAAGAGTAGATTTAAACTTTTCAATCCAGAAAATCGGAACGATACAGTAGGGTCTTTGTCCATTGGTTAGTGTTGCCACGTGGAGACGTTAGTGCCCGTTATAGCGTCGAACAGACCTTCTACCATCCCGCTTGGGTCGTCTAACCCCACCTAACCCTTTTATCAAAACATGATTGACAAGTTCTAAAACATTTCTATACAATTTTCAATCTCCCGGCTCAATGTTTTCATTTTTCTTTTCAACATATGAAATGACAGAATATCAATACAATGCCACTTATTAAATCATCTTCGGCCATCGACATCGCACCCCCTTCTGGACACAAATCATCTCAAAAATCCCATCATGCACAAACTCCAAGTTACAGTTCAAATTGTAGCATATCCTCGAATGTATTTTCGAGATCTTTGAGTTCTTCTAGCACATCAGATTATTCTTTTGATTCGAAAAGATTGGAAATAATGAAAACACAAACGATAGAATGGTCATATGAACCCGCATCATCTTCAGATACGGAGAAAAGCCCACACAGCTCGAATACGTATCATACGTGGGAAGTGCAAGGTCCAAATAAGAATTATGCTGGAAATTTGGAAATGGGAAAACTTTCATCGAAGAAACAAAGATGGACTAAGGACTAAGGACGGAGTGTTTGACATCACCGAAAATTTTGTTTCTCTGATACATAAATATCAACTGCATGAAGAACCAGAGCCATGGTATACGCTTTCATATCCATGGGGACCGGGTAGGGTATAGAACCGAGAGATCGGCACGGAAGTGATGTCTACTCGACCGCTCATTCATACCACGACACATGCTCGGACAGCACAAATCAGGAGAGGACAACCACTTGAAGGATATCCTGAAGGATTCGCACGTACAAATCCCTGTCAGACTTTCGATCCCTTTGAACGAATCTAATTGAAGATGTACTGTGCAAGTATATTGGTACTACATACGAAGCGAAAAAGTCCAGATATAATCACGTGCTTAGTATTAGAGAATGTTGTAGGAAAACGACAAAGATGAAGATATGCGAGGCAAGAATGTTGACCTAGCTTTCGACCTCTCTAATTCACGCTTGGGGATATTGTATTAGAAGCGACGCAAATTGGGGGGGTCAGAACAAACAGGATGTGAAACGGCAACAGAATGTTATCGGACCAAAGGGGTGTGGAGGAAAAGACTCCTGGATATATTGCACTGAAATTCCAAGGAATGCTCGGAACTGGAAGGAAGTTTCAGTGATTGACTAATTCGGTGGAATCAATGTAATACCAAAATCAAACTACATGATAGAAGTAGAAGATGTTTGATATTAGCAGGTCTACAGCGAAACACAAAGACTTCTTTATTACTATTTTTGGGCATGTCTTCAAACAAAAGATTTAAACAAAGGCATAAAGCAAAGCGTCTTTAATTGGGTGAAAGAGAAGAGAACAATGCCTCAGTTAAATCCATAAAGTCATCTTAAACCTCCAACCCTCTTCGCCTCCAAGTTACTTCTCAATTTTCTATCCTACCAAAAACTAAATCACTTGATAGAATTCACAACAAATATTTCACAGCAACTTCACCACCACCCCATCTTATCAAGAAAAAATGGGTCTCTCCAACAAAGGCGATAGTATCGTGGTCTTCACCCTTGTAACATTCTTCGTCATTTTCCTTTCCATCTTCCTAATCTATGTTCCCCGCTATATCTTTCTTAAGATCAAAAACCACAAAAAGACACCTAGTCGAACAGAAATGAAAACTTGGTTTCAAAGAGGAGTTGAAATTACTGCATCGATAGGAAGACGAAACAAAGTGGAGAGAGATGCAAGAACTGCTCGATTTGAAGATATTGAGATGGGAGATATTTCGGGCGTTACGAGTGCGAATGTGAGGAGGGGTGCTGTGCTTGTGGCATTGCCGGAGCAGGCTAGAGTTTCTGGTGAGAGATTGCCAAATGTAATATAAATGCTGGCATTTATTTTACTTGGTGAGTTTGAGAAGTAAGGTATAAGGTATGCTATGATGCTGGACATTGTCCCATACTGACAGGTAAGGATATAATTTCATTTTTTTTCTTTGAGTTTAACTTTTTCATGTGTGAATATTAGGATTGTGAGTGACTCCAACGATGTGGTTTACTTTGAAGCCTCAAGGGTTCTGGATAAAGGTATAGGACTACTAAATGAACTAGTGATCTCCTTGTTTGACTAAAAATATCAAGAGATACAGACTCCTCTTGTTTGTGATTGTTCTTTGTACTTCTGACTGATCAAAGGTTGTACTCATCGCAATCATTGTTTGAGCTCGCATCCTGTGATAAATCTCACTGTAATGTTTCTATGAGAAATAACCCGCTGGAATTGTTGGAGTTTGTCTTGATTTCATAGAGGAACAACACTTCAAGGCACGTTCGCTTGTTATTTTGTGCTTGCTGAGCAATTTTAAGAATAAAAGTGCCATCGATAAAAGAGGTCGTGGGCCAAAATGTCTTTTTGCTCTCGAGCTACATGTGCGCACTTTATCGGAAGAATGGAAAGACATGAATGAGTTTTCCAACTTTGGAAACATTCAAAACTCAAATCGATGGCTCGGTGACTTACGAAGTCAAACCAAATCAACCAGCCTCGGCGGCCCACACATTCTGGAGTCTTATGCTATGAATCACAGTATGCTACCCAAAGTGTCTGGCCCAAATCTTGATTCCGGTGTTCGAGACTTCATTGAAGGAAGAAATCTCTTTTCTCATCTGCCACCCGAAGATACTAAACGTAGTTCAATTGATCGGATTCCTTCAATGATTGAAAAACATATGTTAGTTGCTTTTCTTTTGTATGTATGCATCTCTTTTGTGTAGATAGAGAAGACCAGCTGCTATTGGTATTAAAATCTGCTTGACGCTTCCAAGAATCCACAATATTCAAAGTACAGACTTCTGAGACTCCCAAAAATATAATCGCAAAGACTTTTGTTGACCCATAAAAAATCAATTCCTCCTTCGTGATACCATGGTTAACGATGCGTAAATTCTCCAGATCTCAAACCGCAAACCGGACTAACACACTGTAACCCTAACTATAGTTGATGTAGGAATCCCTTCATTCACACCCCGGCGCAAAAGCAGCAGCGACCGAAACCTGTCCTTTGCTTACAGTAGTTTTGCCATTTTCGGTAGAGTACTTGGCATAATACTCCAGTAACATGCCATTCAATTCAGGAAATATCTCAAGCTGAAATTGATAATGTGGCTTGACGATGCTAATCGGTCCTCGCCTTACTGTTGTTGGCTTGATCAATTTTTTAGTGCGGAGGAAGGTCATGTCAAATATAATCCGGCTAGCTATTTGCGCATCTGGAAATGATATATTAACAACTATTAAGGACTTGACTGGTGACAAGAATCCAAATCTAGAAGACAACAGAATCGCATGGAAAGGGCGTCGACTCATCAAGACTGGTAAGAGAGAAAGAGACGAATTAAAAAAGGACGAACCATTATTTCTGTCGTGTGCCAAAGGGAAATGAGAAAGTCTTGCTTTGTCCGAGACATACAGCAATTCTTCGCATATAAATTTCTCTTCGTTCAATGGAAATGTGTAAATTGATGTGATAGGTGGAAACTTGTATTTTGGTGGGACAAGTTCCCCCTGTTGAAGAGTTAGTACCGACCGCGTCGAATATTTATATTAGTGGAGTCAATAAGTAAGATATACCTTAATGACAAAATAATTAATAACATGAACATATTCATCTCCATCAATTGGACATATTTCGCGATCCCTAATAAAGGTAGATTCAACGTGCCCAGGATAACCCAGCGGGGGGTTCTTTTCATATGGCTCTCTACTAAAGAATCCGTAACTAGATTGAGCTCTTCGCGCTGGACCGTTGGTTTTATTGAGTGCAGCTAGGACGGCACCACAAGATACCGCTGTGACTCTGTCCATCATTTGAGTCAATCACTAGCTGTAAACATTCAAAGAATATCGATGGAACTTACGGATATCCAGAGGCATCGTTTCCTGTCATTAATTTGATATCATAACCAACCTCAGGTTTATTTGACATCTCTCTTAAATAGTTTCGAAGATAAGACCTCAGGGATGGAGATGCTCCAAATCCTCCAAGTAGGAACACTTTCTAGAACATATGTTAGTTCATTTTGTAGAATAACAAAATCTCTTCAATGCATACCTTGACTTTTAGGTCCTTTTCAAGTGCAGTGAGTAACTGGGTATGCAATAGCTTCTTTACCCGCTCCAGAAGAGGATTGAATACTTCTTCCCAATCTTGTCTATTTCCGTAACCGAAGCTACGTTAGCAGGTTTTCATTTCGATTGAAAAGTTGATGCAGGGTAGAACAGACTTTATGATAACGATATGACCATCGTCGAATCTTTTCTCTGCATTTGCCTTCAGGCCAGGAAGATGGAGACGAGTTTTTAGTCCGAAAACAGAGGTTATATCTTTGCGTCTCTTATGATCATTCTCAAAGTTCGGAATGAAACGATTGACAATTGATTCCAAGGATTCGCCAGCCGGCCACATATCGAGTAGATAACTTTCGTCTTTCAATTTGTTGAGAAGCATATTTTTCCAGTTCTCATTGAGATAACTACTCCCACAATTGTCACCTATTTAAATCAGCATGCTTAGTATTGTTGTGCAAACCTTTGACCTACCTCCTGGTGTAACCTTTTCCTCGCTCAATCTCAGAGGATGCTCTGTACCAATCTCATATGTGACAATGTCGACAGTTCCACCCCCACAATCTGCTATAATGAATGTTTCTCTCGGCTACATAGAGTTTGTTAGTCGTGAATATCTCAAATTAAGCATCATGCATGAATGTATGAACTTACATGTACTGAGGAATTTCCTGCCAGCATATAAATTGCAGCTGCTTCTGGCTCAGACACAATATATGGTACGACAGCTTTCTTCGGTGAAATATTTCCAAACTTGACAAGTCTTGCGGCGTTTTGTAGGGCAGTTTGAAGAATCCGGGATGCATTGGGACTCCAGATTGTTGGTACAGTCAAAGCAAACTCAACGACAGACTGACTAGAGAAGTTGTGGAGTTGAATGAGCTGCTCTTTGGTATGATTGAGAACTTTCAACAGAAAGTCCGTAAATATATCGAGCACATCCCTTGCATCAGGTTCATTTTTCGAACCATGTTTCCGAATAATGCCATTATCGATCAGAATCTCTATACTACGAAGTAGTTCAATACGGTCGTCATGCGTGTAAGCTGTCGGAACAAGGTGTAGCTTGGATCTTTTGACTCTAGTCCCGGTATTCCGGGAAATGTTTTCTCTGTACTGCTGGTGATGCACCTGGTAACCCCAGAGAAATTCCGAGGACTCGTCTCCATCTGACTCGGCATTTGCGTCTCTCACGTAAGTCAAAGGGTGATCTTCATCATCATACACGAACTCTTCCAATGTTTCATCGTGCTCGTCGGTATCTTGGGGCGCCTCCCTAGACAAAGGAATTGGTGAGTACCACTGTAAATTTACTTAGTAACTCTCAGGTATTTTGGATGCAATCTGAAGTAGCTATGAACTGACTTACTGTCTCGGAAGGTACTTGAGGGCGAGTTCCACCAGCATCACCACTACTCAAATCCTCTGGCCAGTTTTTAATGCTCAAAATTTGTTCCGGAAAAGCTCGAGGGTGCCGTTCATTGATCGGGTGGAAGAAATAGGATACAGATGTGAAGGTAGTTCCAAAGTCCACGCCAATGACAAATTTCTTTTCGGTCGTAAAGTTCTTAGAATGTTCCCCAGCTATGCTCGCCGAATTAAACTCTCGTTCTCTCAGAGAGGATCTTGCGCTAGGCGCACTGCGTCGTGCATTAATACTCATTATTTGAAGTTGTTCGAGGTAGACTCAGTTTGGAGTCAAACTCACAGGTTAAGAGGGAGAAAGTAACGGTTCTTGTGAGGGGAAATAGATTTGGAGAATTGGACGCAAACAGGTATTTTAAGATGAATATTTGAATTTCGTGCCAAAATCAAACGGGCGTGTTTGATAATTAATGACTTGGTCCATTTTGAACATGTCAAGTGGATAAAAACAAACGGATGAGAATTATTATGACGAATCAACATATTCTGACCAGCAACTCGGCAAGATGCATTTTTTCCTTTCACTGATGGCAACCGACGGGAAGCAACATTCATCAAGGATTCTTAGGCAGCAAGCTATCAAGGTTTCCACGCAATTCAAGAAGCCAGAACACCGTTTGAATTTACGGTAGTCGAATGTTTGAATAGCATTTAGTGATCACCGTAGAAAGGCAAACGGTAATCTAAATTTGTGCTGGAAAGTCAACTATCTCTACATTTTGAATCGCAAATTATATTGGAAGCATCTGCGTGGTGTTTCTGCCCATTTTAAATCAGTCAAAAGAACCATTCAGTGAAAATGGGCTTATGGCCACTCGATCATGATGTGGTTCTCTTTGCTTGGCTCGACTTTTGCAAGAAACACGAAATAGATTACTTGGCAACAATCGAACGAGAATTGAAAGAGAAGACTGGAATTTCTCGTTCAAGAGCCGCTGTATGTACCCACCTCCGCTATATTGAGTGGAGATACCGCAAGCCAAATGAAAAACGCAGAATTCAGCATGATGAACTCGTGTCGCATATTGGAATTATTGAGACCGGATCTCAAGGTTTGCGGTACCCTCCGAAAGAAATGACTCCGAGAATCAGAAAGGCTTTGCGCGAATATGAAAAAGAGTACAGCCAAGATAGAATCCAAAAGTTGATGAAGGTCACATCCAAGAATAAGCCGAGCCAACTAGAAGTACACCCCCCTCCTCGAAGCTCGCCTCCTGTGAAGAAGCCAGAATGTTCATCAAGTCGCGTTCGAAAAAGGGTTTCACCGCTAGAGGACGGGGATTATTCAAATAAAAAGAGATGTGTAGAAAAGGTACGCGTACTTTTGGTTCACTTGATCTGGAACGTGAATTCTTCCTACCAGCAGTTCGATTCAACTGACAATCTATCTCGAAACAGAACACTAAGTCAATTCCACCTCAAAAGCAGCGAAGAAAGCTTGAACTTCAAAGGCTTCAGCTTCCGTCTACACTAAAAAGTGCGAAGCTTCAACCGCTGAATGACAAGTTGCCCACCAAAACAAAACTATCAAATGTTCAACCAGAAATCTCACATCTTTCCAAAACCCCCTCCATTGATGGAGAGGATGACGACGAAGTTACAGGACCAACTCAGAAACGTATTGAGGAAGTTATATCAAAAAGTCAAGAAAGCTACAAGAAACGCTTGAAGGAGAAGGAAGCAGAAATAATTGCCATTCGCGAACACTGGGATTGCGACATTCGGGAACTCCACGAGAGAATTGAAAAGCTTCAACAAGCAAATCTGGAACTAGAAGCTAAGAATTCGAGTTTGGAATCAGCTGTTATCGATGTCCGTAATGCAGGAAGAAATCCATTGGCAGATATGATTGGTCAAAAGAACAGAGAAATCTGGAAATTAACTGATATGATTCACCGACAGTTCGAAGTATCAAATATCAAGGAGACACAAGTAAAATACATCCCACGTCAAGATGTTAAGATTGCGATGAAAGAAATTCGTCTCGAGTTAGAAACAGTGACTCAAATGCAAGAATTCTCAATTAGACTGATTTCAAAAGATTCGTTCAGCGGGGACTTGGACCACTTGGTCAATTCTGCTTTTTCTTCTACCGAGGGATCGATTGACGGCAGGATTCGATTAAAGAGGCTGGCCTTAAGAATCGGTTCATCTGCGGTACTCAGCCTCTTAACCATAACTGCATTGAGAGATTGGGTGTTCCTAACAGATTTTCCACGGGTAGAGTTGGGATCTTTGAGTCTGATTGAAGCATATCGCAGCATTGCTTTTAATCAAGGTGAGCACTTTCGTCGATATTTTTCGTCCTCTGATCATTCATAACGACAGCATGATATCCTATACTTCTAGCTTTGGGGTTATTGTGATCATCCAGAATACTAATTCAAGAATGACAGGCGGATGGGATGAATTGCGATGTTACGATTTCGGGGCATTCAAGGAACACATGAAAAAATCATACTTTAAGGAAGAATTGTTTCGTACCGCCAAGCAGCTTTCGTGTCGGTTGTCAAGGACATTAAGCCTTATATTCGGCAAAAGTCTTGAAGATATGGTAGAGAATGTCTCCTTTCACACGTGGGGTGAAGACTTGGAGTCCTGGAAAGAGAGACAGTACCACTTTGAAAAGCTTTTTCGGATTGCCTTGGAGTTGAAGAGTGACTCTATAATCACGGATGATACCTATACCTTCGAATTTCTTCTGAATGAGACACACGCTAACAAGCCATTTGATGAATCGGAAGCTCCTGAAGGGTTTTGGCTGCGATTTTCTATTGGCGCATACAAATCGAAATCATTGGTGACTCAGGATGAAAGGGTTGGTGCGCTCGTCCAAACACGGAATTTTTTATCCTCTGTAACTGACGACTGGATTTGCGACTACCGGAAGGACCTATATCTCAGTATTAATCGAGCACATAATCCCGAAATCATGTTATCGCACAGCAGAGATTCAAGTAGACTCGCTGGGAGATCTCGGACTGATAGTCAAAACCTAGAGCAGGAGGCCTTTCAACCAGAAGATCCTGGTACCTCGGAGGTGACTTATAACAATAGTGTTAGAATTGACAATATATCCGGACCGATGAGGAACACCCCACAGCTTCCTTTACAACTCTCTGGTATGTCATCAGAGCATATGTGCAAGATATGCAAGATGAACTTTGAAAAAAATCAAGGTTTGAGGTCGCATCAGAGAAATAGTAAGTTGAGATGATTACTTGAGAGATTGTACTAACATTCTTTCAAGGGACTTGTAGGCGATGTAAGGCATGTCGAAAAGTCTGGCCAACGATAGCTGCTTTGAAAGAACACAACAGTAAGAATCATAACGAAGAAATTGAAGATCTTGTGTCTAGCACGAGTGATCATTTGGAGCCACAGCCAGCAGCAATTCCCGTTTCACACCGAGAGACTAAATTGAACGTGGTCATTGAAGAAGGTATATGTGAGGAGGATGATATCGAGGAGAATGATGTCGAGGAGAATGATGTCGAGAAGGATGATGTCGAGGATGATGTCAAGGATGATGTTGAGGATGATGTTGAGGATGATAATATTGAGGATGATGATGTTGAGGAGGATGATGATATCGAGAAGGATAATGATATCGAGGAGGATAATGATATCGAGGAGGATGATGATGTTGAGGATGATATTAAGGATGATGTTAAGAAGAATGATATTGAGGAGGATGATGATGTTGAGAATGATGTTGAGAATGATGTTAAGGATAATGTCGAGGAGAATAATGTTAAGGAGAATGATATCGAGGAAAATGATATCGAGGAAAATGATATCGAGGAGAATAATGTCGAGGAGGATGATATCAAGGAGGATGATATCGAGGAGAATGATATCGAGGAGAATGATATCGAGGAGAATGATATCGAGGATGATGTTAAGGATAATGTCGAGAAGAACAATCTTGATTTGTACTCCGCAAAAGCCTTGGAAATTGTGAGTAATGGAGAGGCAGATCATCCCCGCACCACAAAATCTCGAACATGTTCAATTAGTGAGATACCCAGCAGCATCGATTTCGAGCAAGAAGAAGGAGAAGAACCAGGATCGGCAGGATCAGTCCCGTGCCTCCTTTCTACAATTGAAACAGACGATGTCAACCTTTTACCTAAAGGAAATAGGACTAGTGGCGAGGAAATTGACTCCGCTTCACAAGAAACAGAAGGCGAGGGACTAATGACCTCAGAAAGTAAACACGCGTGGGAGAAATTTGAGTATGGCGAAGGGGATATGGTTGGGTCTGAAGATTATAGGCATCGATCTAATTCGCAGACAATAAAAGAACTTGACGGTCTAATCGAAATAGATTCGGATACTTTTGACACCAAAGAAGACGCGGCTCTTGATGTATATGGACAAAAAAATGAAGCCGAATCCGAAAGTTCAAGTACTACTGGGTCTTCCACAAGCGACATAAATTTGAAAACTTTGGGGACTCAATCTCCGGATCACTGGATCATTGCAGAGGGTTACGACACCTCAAACATTTTATTCGAAAGTCCTAGACTAATACCTGAAAGACGCGCAAGCCAATTGTTTTTGGTAACCACTGAGGACGAAGAGGCCGCGGATGAAGACGCGGATGGATACAGGAGTCCTGCAAATTTTATTGCGGAAGAACCCAAGAGTATCAATGCCGCTGAGGGAGAGAGTACCGAGTTGGGCGAACACCACGGTGGTGAGATCAACTTATATGATGGTAATATTGGAGTTGACCATGATGACGACGACCAAACAGAAGAAAACAAGAACTCTGAAAGTCATGGTGTTGATGACGAAGAGGGTGTAAAATTGGACGATGACGATGGCAGAGAAGCCCCAGATAGTAGCTTCACTGGGGGAAAAACAGACGAAAACGAAATCATTGCATATCATGAAGCACAGGAACCCGAGGGGGTAGATGTCACTACGAAGCAGCATATTGAAGACTATATCAACAACACTGATATGGCGAAAGACGAGAGTAAAATCGAAGTCGAGAATAAAGATTCTCTCCTGGAGCACAAAGTCGAGGAGGATAGAGTCATGGATGAGGATGTCGACGTTCACAACGATATGACTGTTGGAACAAAAATCGAGAAAAGCATCGAGTTTTCAACCAATGAAAGAAATGACACAGAGAGTGACCAGCCACTCGCACGAGCAAATCAGAGCGCGGACAAGTCAATTGATTGCAATTCTCCTGTGAATAAGGTGCAACAACAAGGCAAGTCAAATGGTGCGGACGTTCAATCGGAAGTACAATCGGAAGTACAGTTGGAAGTACAGTTGGAAGTGCAATCGGAGGTACAATCGGAGAAAAAGAAGGATTTGGAACTCGAGGAGGGCGACATCGATGAAGTACAAGTCGTTCCCACGGAGTTTGCAAATGATTGATTGAATAACGGAAGGGGGTGCTTGTAATTGGTATGATATCTACAAATATGAGGTAATTGAACAATAAAGAGACGATGAGGAGAAATCGAGAACCTATGAGTGTGATGCATTGATAGAGAAGTGAAGATGGGCATGATATTCGCCAAGCCATTAGCTCCGTCGCAATCTAACACGTGATCTGATACCGTCCAAGCTTTCGAAAATATTTCAGGCTTTAGCCGTGAGTTTAGTGTCGCATTACAGGGCCTTTAGGCTTCTCGGTCGCAATACCTACAGCGACATGTTTTGAAGGCTAAACTCAATTTCACCCCGTCCACCATGTTCCTTGACATCTGGATTCATATTGAAAGCTCCCAAATATCAATTTGCAATGCAGGAGAAGTGATCAAACATTCCTAGTTTCCTACCAAACAACATCTTCTAACGACAATGATCATACACTCCAAATCCACTACACTACGTTAGGGCTTACCTATTTACATCCATCCATCTCCACGCTCCACCATACCAAGATGTACATCTACAAATGGATTCTCATCACTCTAACCATCCAAATTGCCCACTTATCTCACCATTCCTACCAATCTAGAATCAGTCCTTCACCCCGCAAAATGATCAACAAAGGCCTACACTCTTTCTTCCCCATTACCCCAGCACCATCAACGGCAGCTTTAGCTCTCTTATCCACAGCCTCTTTATTACGAGGCGCAACGGCACCGATTAGATGTTACGAAAGTATTCAAACACTTGCTTCTGCGAACAATTGCAAGAGCGGTTGTATGGAATGTATTCAGGGTGATGTGGTTTTAACGAAGGTCATATATATGGACTCTGGAGAACGATAGTGTGTTGTCAACATTGAACATGAGATAAATGTGTTTATGGTTAAAATGGAGACGGAAAACCCATCGAGACTTCAAATTTAGGTACAATCCACAATCATTACCAAAATGCTTCCGGCAAATAGATTGTTTCTATAATTATACTTCGTTGAGTACCAACGAAGCTGATCTAGCACGAAGTGTGTGCTTTCGAGAGACTATGCGCCAGCAGTAAGATTATACTTGCTCTATTATCCCTCCCCTCTCCAGAAATTCCATACCATACAATAATTACAGTATAGTGCATTATTATTTTTTCCTTTCACGCCCTATACCCCAAAACTCTACCAAAACTCCAAATGATTTCAAAATCTACTACTTCAGCTCCATCATTGATCACTCTCCACCAAATATTTCCCCACAATCATCCACCACCAATCACCCACCTCCCAACCTTCCATATCTTGGGCCTCTCTAGCAGTTGCTCCCAATCCTTCATAATCGCATTTTTGCCAAACGCCCCTTTCAACTCCCCAATCAATCAATTGTTTGATTTCCCATGCGTCGAGACTCGGTGCGAAAACTCTTTCCAATCCCTCGATGTCAATACTACTTCGTAGAACGAATGCACCGGTAACTCCTAAGAGTACTTTTCTCCACATTCCCTCAATTACTTCTCCTGTTATACTTCTCCAAACCGGAAGTGCACCTCTTGCCCCAACAAATGGAGGTTCCGAAATCATGGCATCAAGGTTAGGTATTGCGTGGTTATAAACATAACTTGAAGTGGGTGCGATATCCATTTGAAAACGATATTTCGCTTTATCAATAAGTCTTGTTTCGTATCCGCCTTCAGTGAGACCGAATTTGTTCGCTCTGATGTTACTTTTTTGAATGTGAATACATCCATTAGCTTGCAAATTCGTAATAGCCAACACGGCACCTTCATTCACACCCCAAGGTATGTTCACAATAGTCTCCCCATTTCGAAACTTTTGATCCAATTCACACTTGAATAAATAAGCCTCTCGGTATTGTTTCTCGAAAATGATCTTTCCCGTACGAACAAAAACGGCGTTGAAAGCATCTGGAAGATTGTAAACTCGACCATTAGTACGAAGGCGTTTATTTTTGGTGATTATCTTGTTTTTCAACAAATCTTCTCTAGCTTCAATGATGATGGCACTTGGAAGACGATTGAGCAACTTATTTGCTGCTTTGCTATCCCATAAATGATCTGGTGTAACTGCTGCGGCCCTACACCAAGATTTTGCAAGTGCATAGTCGGTTATCTCATAATTGAGAGCATCTGGTTTCAATGGATTTGAAAAGGGTACAGAATTGACAAGATTCATTCTTTGATAAACAGCAGCAAGGGTGTAATAATACTGTTCGGACCAGTAATTACTTCGAGTCTCGGGCACTAGTGCATATTTTTTCTTGAGTTCTGGGAATGAATTTGGGAGGTCAAAGACTTTTTCTTCTTGTGTGGGAGTGTTGATCTTTGACATGGCCCAATCGATTAAAGCGTTGAAATCATAGTCGACAATATGATCATAATCGATTGATTGAACTTGTCCTTTTCGATATCCCTTGATGAAAGCTTCCTGGAAATCTTTTGTCAATTTGTCGACCATTGGCTTTTTCTTGGCCCAAACAACCTGCCACCATTTCCTCAGGAAATTCAAGGAATAATCTTTAAAGACCGTTCCAAGAATAACCCAATCAATGTTCATTTCTAATCCTCCAAGCATGGCTCGAATGATAACAATACCCATTGTCAACCTCGCTTCTTCATCAACAGCTAAACCTTGCTCCTTGAATCTTTGTCTCTTTCTGCGAATGTTCATATCATAATTGACCATTTGAGTGCCGAGTAATTCTGCGGCGTATCGAACATCTCTGTGAACACCAAGAAGATCATCCGGCGCAGATGTGAGGCGTCTAGGCATTACCCATTTGTTTTTCAGACCTTTACGCACACCTACATGTGGCTCTTTTTTCTGTTGTCTCTTTCGTTTGGCCCCAACAATGGTTTCTTGCTCTGGTGGTAGATCATCATTGTCTTCGAGAGCTGAGTATGGTATAGTTTCCATTGTAAAAGCAGTACGATCAAGCCACTGCATCTTCAGCTTTTCAGCATCGGTGCAAGCTACAAATGGATGAGCAAGATTCCACAGTCCAGCAGATTCATCGAAAAACAAATGGGATAGACCTGGTGTCGCAGGGGTGGATGGTATGGAATCCAAACCAGGATTATTCTGGCGACCAATTTCCTTTTCTAGTGGTTTAGCCTCATAGTGATTCAGAATATCGAGTTCAGTCAAGCCATTAATACTAGCTTCCGTCAAGTCCATGGGATCTGGGGTTAGTGATCTATAAGCTCGCTTTGCAAGACCAGTATGTCTTGATATATCATGATTCTTTTGTGATCTGGTATGATATGTGTAATTTCGTTTTGGCTGACCAGTAGTCTTCGAGATCTCTACTTGACCATCTGGTCGATCAACAAGATCTCCCCGAAGATTCTTGTTGAGAAAGAACTTTGATGGAACGGAAGGACGCATGATTGGTTTGTTAGGATGAATGACTGGTCGGTGACCATCTTCCCGTTGCTGAAGATAATGTTCGCCTTGGGGGTTTCCAACAGTAATCTTATTTGGTCTAGCAAATATAGGATTTACACCATGTCCAAACGGTCTCACAGACCAAGAACCAGAATCGCCTTGTATGAACGTAGTTGGCTCCGGAAGACGCTCTCTCAGCTTGTAAGTTCTTTTTGGCTTCGCAGGTGTATTCCATGCGCTATTCGCAGGATTTTGTAACATTGTTGAATGTGATGACCATCCATGTTCCTGTGAAGCAGCTGTACGCTTCCTTCTTTCTAAGTCTTCGAGATTGGAAGTGTGAGCAGGACGTCTCATACGAGATTTTATTGATTGACCACCATGGACATTTGCCGGAACCTGTTGGTACAATGGATGAAATTCCAACTCTCGCGTAGGGGTAGATCCTGGAAAGGGTGAAAACTCGCTTCCAACGCCATCTGAATCTACATCAAGGTCCATTGGATCATCTTCAAGGTCATCCTCGGCATCCAATGCGTGAACCTCAGGTTTGAACTCATCATCTGAAGAATCACCCCTGCCTAGCTCCTCATCATATCCCAGTACATCATTAAGTTGCGTTTCTACAATCTTCGGAGCCAAAGGAGGAAGCTTTCCAATAGAATTCAAAATCTCCAAAATGACACTTGGAGGAGAAAATCCAACTGGAATGTAAAAATCAGGATGTTTTGCTTTTGTATCATCTTGCATTTTGGTAATATCAGCTGAGGATGGAGTAACAGCTTTTGGATCAAATAAAATGCTCCTGGTTATAGTCCTGCTCCTAGCACCTGCAAAGTCAAATGTGATCTTTGAAAGTTTTCCGTCCTCAAGTAACTCATCAAGAGCTCTCACAAATAACTTGTGTTCCGGAAGCACCCTAGAATTATGATAATACTTGAGCCAACATGCAACAAATGCGAACCAAAGGCCACGCTCTCCCGGTAAAGCATTGTTATTAGCCCGAAGAAGACAAAGAATGACATCTTTAACAACCTTCTCTTTCGACAATGGTGATACAGATTTTGGAAGTGATTGTCCTGAAGTTTGAGGTAATGACGGGATTTTGGCAAGTTCTTCAACGAGCGATGGTTTCTGCTTGACAATTTCAGCAATTTCCAAAAGTGCTGGTCGTTCCCCTCCTAAAGACTTGTAGACTTTTCCATTTCTACCAATGACCGGATCTCCTCGATCTCCTCTACTTTTGTTCGGAGATTTTTTCAACCCAGCGACTTTAGCAGCCCATTCAAAAACGGAGTCATCCGAGTCGCCGTGTTCAGACTCGGAGTCAGATTGATCTGACGGTTCAGGTTGAATTTCTTTCTCTGGAGTTGCCACAGATTTACTTTTTGCCTTTGTCACTTTCTCCTTTTTTGGCGTCTCCTTTTGTAGTTTACCGTGTTGGCGTGGCTTGGTAGACGGAGCTTTCCAATTTGGATTGCAAGTCGTTTGTGATTTAGAAAGATGATATTTAATACCTTCTTTATTCTTGAACCTGGAGCCACATTTCTCACATTTCCAGGGCTTAAGAGCGATCACTTCTGGATCTTCTGCCTGAATTATCTGAGGATTA